ACGTCAGTGTGTTGAAAATCGTGTTTCTGGCAGACCACCTTACAAACTTCACAACACATTATTTGTAATAAACAGAATAACAGAAAATTAGGTATACATTTTCAAATTTACAGCAGTTTAATGCTGAAAAATACATTGTATTTTGCAAGCAAATTTATGTACACTTTTAATATTTCCCAACTGCAAATAACAAGTGTTACTTATACACAAAAGCAAATTGAAACATATCAAAGCAGACACACACTTAACAAAAACGTTTACTTTGCTTTTGTAGCCACCACAGAGGAATTTTTAAAATCACCATATATCGTAAAATAAATCATTTATAACTACTATTTCTAAAGACACTACACCATACTACAAATACAACTTCAAGCCTCTAATATAAATATTACCAGAAACATTTTCATCAGCTATAGAGTATCCCCCGTTTTCATAATATAATCAGCTTCCAAACTAGTACCCCACATGTTCATGAATTATCTGAAATCCCCGTATTTTCATACAGTATCTAGCATCCCCATATCTTCGTAAATTATCTAGTATCCCCTGTTTTTATGAATTATTTAGTGACCCCTTGTTTCACAAATTATCTAGTATCCCCTGTTTTTATGAATTATTTAGTGACCCCTTGTTTCACAAATTATCTAGCATCTTTATGTTTTTATGAACTATTTAGTGACCCCTTGTTTCACAAATTATCTAGTATCCCCTGTTTTTATGAATTATTTAGTGACCCCTTGTTTCACAAATTATCTAGTATCTTTACGTTTTTATGAATTATTTAGTGACCCCTTGTTTCACAAATTATCTAGTATCTTTATGTTTTTATGAATTATTTAGCATCTCCACGTTTACATAAAAAATCTAGTATCTTTATGTTTTTATGAATTATTTAGCATCTCCACGTTTACATAAAAAATCTAGTATCCTCGCGTTTTCACAAACTAACTGGTATATGCGTTTTCACAAACTATTCGATATCCCATGTCTTCATAGAATCTCTAGTATATCCATCTTTTCGAAAATAAACTATTTATTATTCCGACGTTTACATAATTATCTAATATTCACACATTTAATAAGCTATGTATTAGCACTACTTTTTAACAAATTATTTATTATCCCTTTATGAAATTTACAAGGTTACCATAAGCCAATACAGCACAAGTTTCCACCAAATACTTTTTTTTTAGACATATAACTAGTGGTGAAGATAAAAATAACGATTTTTTTCCCTTAAGATTTCTACTTTCAATTTTCAGATGCAGAAAGCTAGAAAGAGATGTAAGTTAGTGCCTCTTTGACAAATAAGTTACATTTGAGACTTCACTTTTTCACACGCTGATCCCAGTGGGCTTGCGTGAAGTATTATACAGAATAACCATGGTTACTAACAGAGTAGTAACGTTTCAAAACGCATGTCGCACTAGTAGAGTTATGTCAGTAGAATAAGTATATATAATATATATATATAACGCCTACAATATAGGTGTCTTGCATCATGTTCAACTCCAACACGTTCCTCTAGAAATATTTCACATTGCAAAATATAAGTGTCAAATATGGATGAAATTTGTCAAATGTTTTCCGAACACGTACTTCCACTTATGGAAACAGTACATACAGTAAGTGGAAAGAAGTACTAACGCACATTAGCGATGAGAAATGGTCAAACTTATCACTGCGACTTTCCGAAACATTGACCAACGTGGCCTGGTGAAAACTATACCGTTCAGCTGGAGGTTGTTGCTTAGCTACAACTGATGTACCGTGAACAGATTAATCTGCTATCAAAACATGGCGCTTAATAAGGTGCACCGTTGAAATTTAAAATACCATAAAGAAAAATATATATATATATTTATGAGTGGTCTTTTATCTAAAGTTCCTGCTGAACATAAACAAAGCGCTTTGTTGGGAACTATAGCATTGCCGGTTTAATAAATAACAATGGAAAAGTTAGGAGCAACTATAAAACTACCGGGAAAGTTTATAAATTCCAGTACGTCTTAACGTAGTAAGAAATTATCCACAATAATACTTCTCGAAACTGCGTGCGCTTTCGCCTATTTATATATAATTGCTGAAAATTAGTTACATTAGATTAATATATAAACGCTAAAAACACATACACAGATTACGTTAATAGTAGAAATAATGTTAATCAGCATAGCACTTTAACATTTATGATACCAGACTATCTGTTATTGGTTTTATCTTACTTACCATATGCTATTGTCGATTGTGTAGTAATAATTGTTAGTTACAATACACCTCAGCGTTATATGATGTAACAATACCGCAAAAAAATACGACTACTTTTCCGGGAGTAGGTTTTCTCTGACCAAAAGTCAAATACATCATGATTAGGTAACGAGATTACAATAAAACTATGCAAATAAGTTTCATTTTGGGTTTTATTGTCCGTGAAAATAGATGATCGGCATTCCTGATTTCAATTATCAGAAGCATTTTTAATCTGAGGAACTGATTTAGGTAGCTTTACTTTTTGATGGATGTAACGGCATTATATCAGACTTTTATTTTCCATTTTTTGATAATGTTAATCAAAAGGTGGAAGAGCACTGGAAGACGATAGGAAACTAATTTTTAAGCGACTGTCTGACGCTATTAATGGACACGATTCACGACTTAAACCTTCCACAACAGTCATGGTAATTTTACATTGTTCATAACCTCGGTACTTTCAAATGAATTCTAAACTAGTATTATGTTTTAGATCTTAAAACAAAACATAAAAAACGAATCTTATGCGATTTTAATTCCAGGAAAAAAAAAGGTGTTTTGAAATGTAAACTAATCAAATTTCTTTTCCATTTATTTGTATTTCCACGATTTTCTCGAAAAGGTGTAAAGCGCCAAAAAAAAATCAAAATTATTATAGTATAAAAAACCAAAGTAATTAATAAATTTTATTTCAGTGAAATTACATCACGGATATTATAAAAATTAACATACTTTTACACCTTCTAGAAATTATGGAAAAATATACTATAGAAAATTAATTCGAGTTCGAAAGACGAAAATCAGACGACATAAAAATCGAAATTGTTATCGGGTAATAGGTTCTAACGGCTGTCTTATTTGAGAAAATAAAAGCAAATAAGTCTTAGAGTCGTTCACTGTTGTTCACTTCCTTTAATGGTTTCATACCCTAGCATAGCAACTCAGACATGTTGGAAGCTGTTGCTTGTTTCTAAAGGCTTTGTGCTTTATTTTTTTAACTGTCAGTGAATTAGAAGGCCATAATGTCAAAATCAAGCGCATGGCCGAATGTCAGATGAAAGTGACAAATAAAACTTGAGACAGATTTCGAATCTATGAGTTAAATTTATGGATTTTTTAAGAATTAGTGACTGCATAAGAATCTATTAACTTTGAAGGCGGATGTGAAACAATCTCTGTGAAAACTTTTTTTTGCTATTTTCTTTTCAGTTGTAACCCAAACACTTTAGCACTGTTGAGCTTCGTATCATAGCACAAGTCTACTTCAACAACATATATGTTTGAATATCTACATAATACAAATGAATCAACTTGATTATAATTACTATGAAAGATTTTGTTTGATGATGTTGATAATATTACATGTCTTTTATAAATTACTGAAACAATAATTGAAAAACAACAAAGTTTAATAGATATAATTGGCTTAATTTGATTGGTTAATTCACTTACTGAACTATCAGAATTTTACATTTAATGTTGTTGTCATATATACATATTATGTTCTTGTATTTAATTTGTCATTTGCTTCACTTCAGGAAAAATGACAACTGAATTTATTAATCAGTAATCAGACACAAATTCAGTTGTTCTTTTCTTTAAAGAGGACAAGGACCTTTCCAAACAATGACACTTTAGCTAATCAAAACTGGATGATCGGAATCGTTTGTTGTTCAACACTATATACTGGGTAAATACGAATGAAAAGCTAACCCTTACATTCTTAAATTTAATCTGGTTATACACGCAATAATAAAAAATATCACATCAAGCGACCGTTAGTTTCGGTTCTATCCTCTAGATGTGTTACGTAAAAATACGTTGATTAAACAAATCTGACTATCTGTTGACATAGCCCCAAGATACTTCATATTACATAAATACGAAGTGTGTGCTGTGGCTGAAAGGTTATTGGAATAATAATATGTAAACGGTTTTCTGCTGTAGTTCGGGGTGAGTTATAAAATTGTACTCAGATTGGTGCACATTTTCAACTGAAGCGCCACCTATCTCGATCACATATCAAGAATTTCCACAGTTATACTGTCATACTCTATGGTAGTCGTTCTGGAATTATAGCATTTTCATTTGGTGCAATTATTTTGTGAACTTCCTGAACTTTTTAAACCACTTTCAATGTTTATCCCATAACTTTTTTTTTTTCAAATAATGTTATGAGTTTGAAAGGTATCGGAATGATACGGTATTTAGGTATTTTCAATGTGGACATCACTTTGGCTAAATGGCTAAGTTAGAAAACCTCAAGGTTCAGACATAGCGGTCAATAATTTTAAATTACTAGCAAGAGGGAGGGCAACCAGTTAGTAGCACTCGCCGCTTATACAACTATTTTTAACAGAATAGCGGTATTGATGTCACTTTTATAACACAGCATATCAGAACTCAAACCTTGGATCTTCCGAGCTGCATCACATTAGCCACTAGGCCTGGCTAGAGGAATCATGTAAATTTTATAAATATTGTTATTAGAGGTCGTTCATTTACTGAAGTTGTGCCCGTTCGTAAAGTCAGTGTCTTTAAAAAATTTTCTCGTTACCAGATTCTTGTCTCATGATTCACATTATGTTGTACTTAAAAATACATTTACAAAATAAAAGAACATAATTTTTTCAACTTTTATAGAGGCAGAGTTAACTTTTACCAACAAATTTTAACTTTTATTATTAAAGTTTCATGTGCGACTATAAAATATTATTGTAAAATGTTAGAATTTATGTGAACAGGTTTTTAGTTTTCACGAAAAAAAAAAAAGACGAATTATCACAGTTTCCATTAATTATCATGGAAACATTTGTATTTTTTAAGAAAGGTGTCATGATCACATACTGGGAATATTTACTGCACTGAAAAACACCATTTAATAATTTAGTAAAATAAAACAAATACCTGTAAAGGTTAAGGGCTTGAATTGAATATCTAATGTTGGCACATTTTTGTATACTTTCCGACCCATTTCTTCATTTTCTTAAAGGAAAAACTCCTCTCAAGTAAGTCTTATAACTTTCCATGTTTTTAATGCATTAATGTTTTAATATTTTCGTTCATAAAGACAAGTACAGTAAATATGGCTGCCCCATCTCACGAATACCTAATGCAAGTTGATGATTTTATATCTTTGTAGTTTTAATCATGTACTATTTGCTTTCTGGACAACAGACATCTTATATTAGTCTTCAGATCACCTGAACGCTGGAGACGATGGTAGCTGCTGAAGAACACCTGAATCACGTGGTACGTCCATGTTATTTAAATGATCTTTTTCATTGACCTGTGCTGCCATCTGTCGGAGCTGACGTCTTGTTACCTCTAGATGTTGTCGGATGTATTTTGTATTCGGACTGAGCTTAAGTGCTTTCTGAAAACAAGCCTCGGCCTCCACCAAACGTTGTCGTCGGTAGTACACTACACACAGATTATGCAGGCCTTGGATATTGCCGGGATCTGATTGGAGGATTTTCATGTAACACTAGAAGCGCAGAAAGACCAAAACTAATTACTGGTAGGTCGAAGTTAACAATACAAAATCATATAACTAAATAAAAATCTGTAAAGAGTACTTCTTATATATGTACGTCTGTTTCTTTTCTATAGCGCGGAATAAACGTTATTGTAGAAAATAGTTTGGAATTTTGTGTTAAGTCCAAAGTTTCAGGTCGCTTGTAGTGTTAAGCAGGAATTTACCGGAATATATTTAGTTATCTTTGAAAGCTTTGCCATTCTAAACAACAACAAAGAGATAAGCTTCTTATCTTTGACGGAATCCTCACCCAATTTAATCTGTCTAAGAGAAACTTCCGGCCGGGAAGTATTAAAATTAAATGTCATGTCCAAGTCGCTCCCAAAAAGCTACGATTTCAAACGATTTGCTTCTTAGGTGCCAAGTTTATTTTTTCAGCCCTACCCCACAAGGAAGTGAATATTTGATATGCTACCATATCAACAGCTTTTGAATACATTAGTTTGAAATATTATATATCATTTTTAAGAAATTAATTTCCTAAGCACAACTAGAATTTTGCACAGGAGTTATCTAACTGTATAAAACGAGTTAAAATAAACAAACAAACAGAAATAATATTAATTAGCTAACTTCTCACTCATAACGAAAAGCATTATTATATTTCAAGCAACTCAATCATTGGAGACACGTAAAATACTAATAGCAGTAATTTAATAGAAATAACAACAACAACAAAAATCCATTCCCTATAGATTTTATTTTTATTCTTAAAGAAATGGAAATATGGCTGAGAAAGGTTGTTGTTCATTTGATACATGACGGGAAGTTTCAGAATCAATCAGATAAATTCAACAATATCATAAAACCATTTCGACATTTTTGGGTATATTGGATAGAAAGTATCCTGTTATGTGGAAGTCAAAATCACCGCATGACTTAGATAGAGAGACAGATATATATATATATAGATAGATCAATACTGGTATTCAATATTTTCAATCTGAACAACACCTTATGCGACACATAGGCCAAACAGTAAGATCAAAAAGCGCTATAGTTCAGGTATAGCTGTTTCTAATTTTGAACTATTGACTAGAGAAAAGGCACACACTCAGTAGCAACTGCCGACATAAAGGATTTCGTTTGAACTTGAGCAGAATAACGAGACTGACTGTCACTATTATAACGCACTCACAACTGAAAGCTCAGAACGTGTCCAGAGGCATCGCGGTGCGAGCTTTAGACCTTACGATACGAAGACCAACTAGCTAGCCACTAAACCATATCCGAATAATATAGGGAGATAAACAAATAAACGGATAACACAAATTAATAGATATATATATACAAATAGATATTGAGATGGCTATAAACAGATAGAATGATAATTATGCATAAATGTATAGATCTAAAACTTATGTGCAACAGTGAAAATTAGAATTTAAGTGAAAAGCATAGTTCTCCAATCTCTCTACATCGACTTCCAGGTACGGAGATTGATATCAAAGAAAGAAGTTCGTTATGTACAATGCAAAGATTAAAACGATAACTAGATCTGTAGAAGTTACCTCTTCCGCTGCTCCCAGATCTCCAAAATGATTGATGTATATGTCTCCCATCAGAATCAAACCCTTCCCATGATCTGGTTGACTCTATAAGAAGAGAAAAAAATTTAGTATTCTTTATTTGTTTAGGATATTCGCACAAGGCTACACAATGGCTGTCTACGCTAATCATCCCCAATTTTGAACTGACAGACTAGAGGAAGGTAGAGAGTCAAGAGCACCCACCGCTAACTCGTGGGCTACTTGAATGGAATAGGTGTATTTGACAATGACTCTTAAAACATACCCACGCCCCAAAGGGTGAAACACAATTTCGTGGCAACAGAACGTGAATCATAGACCCTCGGATTTATAGTTCAGTACACTAACCACTAGGCAACATTTTAGTACAAGTAATATAAACATTTTATAAATGTAAAATAATGTAGGGATTGCAATGCCAAAAAAGAATGCAAACACGAATATAAGAATAACACAGCTATACATAGATCATCCATAAAAGACTTTCAAAATTACAATTTAATGTTATACTGTTATACGAGTACAAAATGTTTACGAGGTTGGTCAATTCGACCTATCTCGTAGCGAGAGTCTGTAATAATCAAGATATGTTTTGACTCAACTTGGTTTTCCTTGTACGTAAGTCATAGGCTGTTAGTTATACTACAGTGATGCATACCCTGACATGACCATGATATTATGGTAAACAAATTGCATACCAATAGTCAGAAATATATAACTTCCAACTGCACTAATATTAGAGTCAAGTATGCATTTGACAGTGTAGCATTAAATTTTAATATCTAAACTTATATTGGAATGATCTATGCATAGCTGTATCATCCTTATATTCTTGTTTGAATTATTTTTGGGGCTGCCATTTCTACATAATTTGGCATTTACAAAATGTTTTTTATTACTTGTTTTGTGACGTTTTATTCCCCTGACTTAAAGTTAGTGTATTCTATGAATGTGTGTAATAAAATTTAATATTATGTTTATTGATTTTTTTCTACTCCTTCATTTCATACATAATATAGGGGTTGACTCTCTAAGGACACCAATTGTATAGTGTAAAAAGCATTGAGCATTCTACATTTTATAGTCATCTAATGTTCATCTATTATTGGCTTGGAATTCCTGTTTCACCCTGTATCTAAGGTTTTTAAAGGAACACTAGATTTCTCCAATAAAGCTAACTTTAAGAAGTAATGGTAACATCGTTCACTAGAATTATGATTTTTATTTTAATTAATACTAGTAATTACGGCTAAGCGATGACATGGTGCACTGCCCAGAAACACATAGAGTGGTCTTAGGTTTAAACTGACGTTAGTGATAAAGTAGTTGTAGAGTTATCTCGATTGAAAAAGAAGAAAAAGAAAGATGAACAATTTGGTGGGTTGGTCACTTTCTGGTTTGGTATCTTAGCGATGGCTTCTTTCCTTGTTTTCGGGCTTGTTGGCGATCATCTTTTAAGGTAAAACTCTCGGTCATTGTTGATTAGTAGTGTGCATATTTGTATTATGTCTATTGAGTACCTTGGCCATCCCTACATTCACACACACACGCACACACACACACACACATATATATATATATATAGAGAGAGAGAGAGAGCCTACCGACTCCATGATAATATATACATATAGGAACAAAGATGAGGTCGCAGGCTCTACAGCATTAAAAGTAGTGTTGTTTGATATTTATCAGTGATCCTTTGATACACAGCATTTTGTTCATGATGGTAACAGAGATTATGGTGGGATTTAAATCCATGACACAAAATGAATTATGCCTTAAAGGCATACCTGTTCTTACATAATGCCACCATGCTGTAAAATGTTCCAATGTGTTACTAGATAGTTGCCAAATATTCACTTCAGTAAAGAGATTAATTCGCTTCATTCAGTCATGCATGAAGTTTAATATTTCGATGGACTTTTTATTGCCCAAAATGAATGTCTTAGTTCAGGTAATCAGATTTAAGTTCTTCCGGCTATTTAGAATTGGGAAAATAAGTGAAGCACTCATATCTCCACAAGCTCACGTTCACTGTTTATTCCTTACGTATTAACAGAAAGAGTTTGTAACTTTTTTTCTAGTAATCTGTATCTGATTTCTTGTTACTTGTTAATCACAAAGCTGTACAATGAGCTATCTGTGTTATGCCTCTTCAGGGATAGAACCTCAAAATTTAGTGTTATATAAGCCCTTAAGTTTACCGTTGAGACATCAATAGGGGATTCTATTTTTAGCAAGGTGATGATTGGAAAACCTGAACACACGGTATTAATTAGAAAAACTATTACTGCATTTTAATAATTTAATTCAATGCACCTTCCGATTCGCAATAAATTGTTTATGTTGTTACTGAAAATACAACATATGTTCACTTAATTATTTGAAACCCTGTGGAGGTTTCATTTTTATTTTTCAATTGAACTGAATTTATTTTTTATGTATTTTTTAATTATTAATAAATATTATTCCTCCGGTGGATCAGCGGAAAGTTTACGAACTTACAATAGTGGTGGACAAAGCACAGATATATCAGTGCGTTGTTTTGCGCTAAAAAACAAAACAAGCAATAAACAATATCCAGTATTGGTTAGCTACAGGTACCATCTACACACACATTCGTTGATATTTATCAAAACGAATTACTGTAGAAAATACATTATTACGGTAATTTCAAACACACACGAAAAGAATACTTAATAACAGAATGTTTTGATGAACTTCAATCACTAGGTAAGTTTATATAAAGGATAAAATTCATTAGATTACTGGTCATTTAAAATTGCTAGTTTACAAGAGGAACAACCCATGTTCTTCAGTTGCAAAACATATTGTATAATAAAATGTAAACACATACCTGTAGAAGTCGTTTAAGATAGACAAAAGCTTCCAGTGGTCTGCTTTCTCCTGATAAAAGCAACGCTAGATTGAACAAAGCACTTCCGAGGTTTGGACGTACCTGAGAGAAAAAAACAAATAAGTAAAATTTTGTTGGCTACATAAAGAAAAAGAATCCCAGACACCTTTATACTTCATTTATGTTTCGTTAAGGTGTCTCTAGGGCCGAAAATTGACTTTTTACAGATTGCTTTCAGCTAGAACCTTTGAGAATCAATGCGAAATAAGGTTTTTTTCCCATAGAAGAATGAAAAACACCACGCTGGAATCTTCTCATAAGAGTAAACTATACCTCCGAAAAATACATACCGGTTTTCTTTAAAGTCTTGATTAAGTTCTAGAAAACACTTCAATATTTTAGATATCGCGTGGGATTTAAAGTTTAAGCTTTTAAGCTCTGAAACATTGGAAATATATGGCACTAATTTAAATCGGACAAGTGAATTTAAAAGTTAACACCGGCTTGATATATATATAATTACAATCGAAATATTGGAACCACTTCGTTGTTATTCTCCTCTTCAGCCGCCTAATTAAGTATCAAAGTAGGATGTCTAAAAATATCTAGAAATAGATATTACGAAACATAATCAACTTAATCGATAAAAAATAACATACATATGCTTGTGTAAAAGTATATAACGGAACACTCGAATCTAGAAAAAAGAATATAACCTTTTTTATTATTTTCTAAATACATTTCAAGTGAAACTGTTTGAACAAGTTGATAATTATTATTTATAATAACAAACATTACACAAGTCCACAAACCATAGACTAAACTCTTTGGCTACTCTTATCAGACAGAACAGTAGGATTTGATCTTTTCTCTCCTAACGCACTCATGACCCCAAAGTTCTGAGCATGATTATTATTGTTATTTTGCTGTAACGGGATTTAAACGCTGCCCCTTAGACCCATAGTCCGGAACGCTAACCCCTGGAGCAAGCTGAACCATGTTTAAAGAACCACTAACTGTATTAGTTCGTTTGATTACCGCTCTAGAGTTACGTCGTTATTGGTTGACTTGGTGACTGTACTAGTAAATAAACTTCGTATTCCGAGAATTGTTTAATCTCGAAGTCTAGGTTCAAGGGAGGTCCAGTT